GGCCTCAGCAGCTAGTGTAGATTAGTTCCTGAAATTCAGTCCAATTTTCAGTCTTAACTTAATAAGTACATTTTAAATAATATCGTAAAAGATATTTAGTGGTTAATTGTTAAAATTTATGTCGATTTAGTAGTTACAATACGATTTAGATCTTAGGTTTATTACATTACGCGGTAATTAGGTATTTAACCATATAATAATTTGAAAATTGTACAATGCTATTACCATCAGAATTTCATTTCATGAATAAATATAGCCATTAGGTTTGTAAGGTAAATATACATGTGTTTTCTTGTACATGCCTTGCGCCCAATATCTATTTCTTTGTTTATTGTTATTAATTAGTTTTCTTTCCAGTGAAATATCCACGACTGCTCCGGATGAAAAGCTTGCCGTTCGCAGTGGTAGTTGTTATAAAAACGCTACAAGTCTTAAATAAGTTTTGAGAGTCAATGGCGTACCTCCGACCCCAGGGAAACGTCTATGAGGTTTTTTTCGAAAAACAGATGTTGAAAATCGTGCATTTTCCTTTCAAATTCCCTGTATATTTTCGAAAACTTTTTGGAACTGCCTGTTCATCGCAAATTTTCCCACGGTTTAAGGTTAGTTATGGCTTACTCTATTACGGGCAAAAAAAATGATGGCCAATACAGAAACCGAGTGGTTTCTCAAAATTTAAACAAAAAAAAATCATTTTTTTTAATTTTCAAACTTATTTGGACTTAATCTGGGAAAAAAAATGGCAAAGAGAAAATATTGTTTCTTATCGAGATCTCCCCCTGAAAATAATTTGCACATAGTTAAAACTCACGCCTGTTATTTTCTATGATATTTAATACACAGGTTGAACATCCTCATAGGATGCAGAGGCTACAAGGAGAACGACGGTCTGTATTGAAATGAAATTTTGTGAGCAGATGTAGGGAAATTTAAAGCATTTTTTTAAAAATTACATATATATATATATTTCGTTTAAAAAAAAAACGACACATTTTCAGCATCAAAGTATGTTTTTGTAACACACGATCCTATATATTAATTGACTGAATGCATATTATCTAAAATTTTATTGATTTTTTTTTTTTTTTTATTGACATTTTGTGAAGATGAAGAATAAATTTTAAATTTCAATAAAGGCTACTGAAATTAAAATTTACGCGGTATAGTCTAATATGTAAAAAATCTTAAAAAAAAAAAAAAAAAAAAAAAAAAAAAAAAAGGTATAGGGGGTGAGACAAAAAATTAATATTGAACATTGGTCATTTCACGGTTGCCCTACTCTTTTTATTTCAAATTTAAACATCACAGTTTATTCCAAACATATCACGAATAATAATTATTCTCAAAATCTATAAAGTTGCTACCTCTCAGATATATTTCCTTGATATTTTCATATATTACTCTGTCAGTAATGTTATTATTATTTTGGATTATAATCTATATGATGTGTGCTGGGGGGGGGGCTGTGGCATGCTTAAAGTTAATTTAACAAAATCAAAGTATAGTCAAATATTCAATGGTAATAAAGAGGTAGACGTTTGAAACATATTCATTATTACAGAATTGAACTGATATGTTTAAATTAACGTACACACTGGAAACATGCCCCCAATTCTCTTTAGAATCTTCGTATCGTATTGAGAGGCCGTCTACACCTTGTATAGTGTGAAAATTTTCAACATATTAATGCGGTCTCTATCACTTTTTATACAATACAGAAATGTCGTTATTATAAATATGTATCATTATTAATTTGTTAACAGAAGAACAAATTTAATTACATTAGAAAGTTCTCCAGAAATCTTATGGTTTCGCCACTGTAGAAAATCTACAAAAATAAAATAAGTTATTTTTTGTACACTGCAGCACGTCAGCAGTGGTTACTAATCAAAATTTGCCTAACAGACAAAAAATGCTCAACGTTTAGGAAAGCATAACCCTTCGTTCGTCGGAAGCAAAAAAAAACAAAAAGAACGAAAAAAAAACATTTAACATAGTCCAAATGCGAACAATGGTGAACGCTTTTTAACAGATACGTCTATAAATACCGTTGACGTTGAATATGACTTATATCAGTTAACTTCAAATTAACAGTTACTACCTCATAAGCAATTTACTTAATAAGGTAAAACCAAAATAAAAAAAAAAAAAAAAATAATAATATTTTTAATTTTTACGTAATGTTATATTTATGTATATTCTTTAAAATCAAAGAAGCGATTGCCATACATTCTAACATCTACAGATGCAAAAAAAACGAAAACAAAATATTTTTATTAGATTGTTATTAAAAAGCCTATTTTACTTTTCTTTTAGAGGCTGTCGCGTTTCTGTTTTACATTGAGTAAATTTATGCCATTGTCTCTAAATTATCTGTGCCGTGTCCAAATTACCCTGTACCGTTCCCATGAATGCTGACTAATTTTAGATTTGTGAAAGTCGCCACTGTTCGGTTTTTATTATGAATTCAAATAAAAAATATATAATGTAATTAGTATTTTTATGGCCATATGAGTTCTTTCAAAACATGGAACAGCTAAATAATTTCCATAGATCCAGTGACGTACCGTGACTTTGAATTTGAGACAAAAACCTGAAACAGATAATTTGTCAACAAAAAATCATATTACAGCTATATGTTTTATTTTTGCATAAATGTTAACTTAAGTTAGAATAATATATCCCTAACTCGTGGTTTTATCGCTATAATTTAAACTAAAGCTAAGTACAAAACAAATCAAATACTTGGACTATTATAACAACAATACATCGTAAAAGACTGTTTTGGTAGCATTCTGAACTAGAATTAAAGTTAACAATTAGAAAATAATTTAAAAGGAAATGTTTAATTCAGTTAACATTAATTTTTTTGTATTTTTTTTTTTTTTTATTTTTTTTATATAACAATTATATATTTTGGCAATTAGAGAATACCTGAAGATTTCATCTAAAATTGGTATTGAATTAGTGGGTAGGTGGATACTTAAAGTTTGTCTGAATGTGCTCCCTGAAAATGATCCTGAATATTTCAAGAAATATAAAATGCCTTGAAATTAAATATAACATTCATAACTGCTTGGGACCAAAGTTGTCTGAATCTTATGCTAACATTAAAGGCCTCTTTGAGACGTTAGATCTGCAGTCCATATGTGGTATTTGTTCCTATACTTTTGTCGCTGACTTTAAGCTTATTGATGAATTCTCCTTGGTCCTCAGTCAAATTCATCCACTCACACACTTGCCCATGTGTGATGTAAATGTAAAGAAAATGATTAAGATCATTCAGAAACTATAAAAAGTATCACAGAAAATACAAATTTATGGCAACAATCTGGAGGAAATATATAAAAAAAAAAAAAAAAAAAAAAAAAAAACTTTTTGTTTTAAAATATTTTTTTTGTATTTTTCTAAACTGTTGTTCAATGAACCATATAAAAAAGGCAATTATTTTTTAGAAAAACTGTATAAACATACCTTTAATCATTGGCGACGAAGAAAAACCTGTCTTAAAGTATATTCCCCTCCTGAGCTTCACCTTTTGTTAGGTGTGGTTCAAAAACTATTTGATTGTCTTAAATTGGAGAATAACCAATGTTGCACAGAAATGGATAAAAAAAGCGGGATTGAAACTAAGAACATTTGGAAAATATAACGGAAATAACGCCAGACAACTTTTAAAGAAAGTGGATATTTTGAAGACGATATCGCCGTAAAGAATCCTATTCAAAGTTTTTAGAAGCAAAAACCTAAACATCTTTTTTTAAGGAAATAAATTATATTGCAGTTGTTTTCTGACATTCAAATCAAGTAGTTTCGAAGTCTGTTTTGGTCAAAGCACTAAACAAACATTCTGAACATGACAATCGTTTAACATTTTAGATTGGAAATACTCAACTTAGGTATTAAGATAACTCCAAAGATTCATGCAATTCTGCATCATGTGCCAGAGTTTATAAAAGCAAATCATAGAGCTCTAGGATTTTACACGGAACAAGCATCTGCGAGCAGGTTCATTTTTCCTTTAAATTATTTTCTAAAAAGTTTAACTTGAATCCTCGTTCAGAATGCTACCAAAATAGTCTTTTACCATGTATTTGTTGTTATAATAATCCACGTATTTAAGATTTGTGTTGCTCTTGGCTTTAGTTAAATTTAGCGATAAAACCACTTAGTTAGGGAAGAAATACAATTATTCTAACTTATTAGTTAACATTTTTATGCAAAATAAAACATATAGCTGTAATATGATTTTTTTGACAAATTATTTGTCAGTTTTTAGTCTTAAAATTCAAAGTCACGGTACGTCACTGGATCTATGGAAATGATTTAGTTGTTCGATGATTTTGAAAGAACGCATTATGGTCATTAAAAAATTACTAATTTTACAATTTATATATTTTTTATTTTGAATCATATAAAAACCGAACAGTGTCGCTTTTTCTTAAATAATCTTTATGTTCTTTAATTCGAACATTTAAGATTCTAGATGTTTCACCAATACAAAATTTATCACATTCACATATGGTATTTTGTATATTACATTTTTTGTTTGTTGTCCAGTGTTCATTGGTTTAGTGTGTGTTAAAATGGATCTAAGTGTATTTTGTGTTTTGAAAGATGTTCGTATGTTATATTGTTTTCCTGTCCTTATTTTTTCCGAAATGCCTCGTATGTATGATTATATATGATTAAAGCAGCAGTGTTTACAAAAAATAACTATTTTATTTTGTAGATTTTCTTACAGTGGCGAAATACCTCTACGACTTTTTTTTTGGAGAGATGAATACGTCACAGGGGTATGGACATTTTTTATTAAGAAAGTTTATAAGTGACGCATTGTCCTCTTCTGTCTTGCTATTCAAAAAGAAATTTTTCGTTATTGTTATCATTACATTCGATGTGACTTACCTAGAACGCTGAGACTGTGCCCGCTGCCCGGCCTGCCGTTCGTCTCTTCCATGTCCATCTTGACAGTTCCTCTCCTCTAGCTGTCCATGACCTGGGACACTAGCTGCGTTCACTGAACCCTTTCTCGAGGCGCTCGCTTGTTCTCAACACTTGTTGCTCGCCACCGCGTATATTATAAAGCCGAGGATAGCTGTACCGCGATCTATCGTCCGTTTTTTTGTCTTTCTTTCCTCTCTTTTTCCCTTTTCCTCTTCGTTTTTCTTATGATGTAGTATCTAGTTTTGTACGCAAGCTACGACGACGCTATAGGTACTACGTCGTTGGTACCTTACATACCGACAAAACCTTTCGCTATTAAATGGCGAGTTTATTTTTAGTTCTAGACTTTTTAGTTTTGTTTTCTGTTAATCCTTTACTAATTTACGTTTTCTGCGGTGTCGTCTCTGTTATTTAATTAATTCTTTGCGAGTTATTTCGTCCGTGTTTCTGGCGCGTGGTTGTTTTATTGGGTTGTTAGGGTTGGAGAGGCTTACCTGAAATTAGTAAATTATGTTTAGTTGGTTGTTAGATATAAAGTAGATATCGTGTGTTTGGTTAACATGGTGGATGTATTTACAGGTTTAGTAACCTACAAAGTTAATGTCATAAAAAATACATATTTTTTAGAAGCATGGTTATACAGGGTGGTCCGAATTGTATTCGGGACACTTCGAAAGCATATTCTGCAGTTAAAAAACTCGTGTACTTCTATTCGGAGATAGAAGGTGTAGAAGTTTCATTTCTATTTCGGTTTTTTCCAAATAATTTCAGAATTATAGTCGATATTTTGATAAAAAGTGGTATTTTTTGATATGATAAATTGGATTTTTATGTCAATATGACTACTTGTCAGGGGCGCCACATACATGTGTTTTAAGTTTTTTAAAGAGTAATAGCTTTTCGTCCGTACCTGTATAAAACTATTGAGTGAAAAAATATACATTTTCGTCATTTTCCACGTAAAAATGGTAGTTGGTAAAAATCGCTATGAGCAACGGTTCTCAAGATATTTAGAATGGAAATAGTCAATACATGTCATTATTGACAAAAAATAAACCTGTTGAATATATTTCAAATTTTTTAGTTTAGTAGTATTTTAGTTTAGTATTTTAGTTTTGGTATTTTAGTATTTAGTTTAGTAGTATTTTAGTTAAGTATTTTAGTTTTTTATTTTAGTATATTAGTTTAGTTTTCAAGATATTTTAGTTTAGTAGTATTTTTTTAGTTAGTAGTAGTTTTTTAGTAGAAGATATTTAATTTTTGATGTTGATTGTTTGATTTGATTGAAATTATAAATTTGGGAGCTTTTTATTTGTTTAACTTAATCAAAATTTTTTTCTTCAAAAAAATTATGATAAAAGAGAGAACTCTTTAACTTTTAGCACAAAAAAAATTCAAATTTATTATTTCAGTCTAATGACTGTTTAGTCAACATGTTTAATTATTGTCAATAATGACAGTTATTGATAATTTCGATTCCAAATATCTCGAGAACCGTTACTCGTAGCGATTTTTACCGAGATACCTTTTTGCGAAAAAAACGTCGTAAATGTATATTTTTTACTCAGCACTTTTATACAGGTACGGACGAAAAGTTATTACTCTTCAAACCAGTTAAAAAATCTGTAGGTGGCGCCCTCTACGATTAGGAGTTATATTGACATCAATATCAAATTTCTAATGTCAAAATACTCCCAGACACCAATTTTCATCCTAATATCGAATATCGTTAGTTCAGTAAATTATTTGGAAAAAATCGAAATAAAAATTAATCGTCTACACCCTGTATCTCCCTAACTAAGCATTTTAGGACATACATTTATAAGAACTTTTTTAATTATTTTTTTCTGCATAATATGCTGCCGAAGTTTCCCGAATACAGTTAGACCACCCTGTATATAAAATCAGATTAATGCGGATTAATGTTAATATATAATAAATAAAAAATGTGGTGGTACATAGTACGTGGTGGTATCATCAATCCCTAGATAGAGTGGCTGTATTTAGTGATTGATGATTCTACAAGGTTATGGTACACACGGTATTTAATTTTTAAGACGGTTAGTCAGTTATAACCTTATTTTACTTTGATAATAACCAGCAGTATTTCATATATGTGTGCCAGCAATCAATAACATTTCACTAATTACATTTTTTACAATAATTTTTGTATCGTTAGACAAATTACTGTTCAATACTTGAGCAATTTATCTCTCTGTTTCCCAATTTAATTCCTCTGTTTTCCCTCTTGATTACCAACATAATGGTTATAAAAACGAAGTTACAAAAACAATAGAAAAAGGGATTGAAGGAAAATATATTGTTATTTAGCGTCAAACTAGGTTCCTAAATAATGAATTGCCAAATATTTGTTAATTCGGTATTTCCCTATAAAGGCATACCAATATTTCTTATACGGTAATTCCCTATAGTTAATCTATCTATTTATGACAAACATATACATGGACAAAACACCCTTTATCGCATTAAATATAATATTGTTATTTTTAGTTATCGTTGTTAGAAAGATAAGTATGTCTATTCCAGTTTTATTTCCGTATTATCTTTTAATCGTTACTCGTTATTTTTATCATTATTACTTTTTAATTTTATGGACGCAATATGTGGCGATCCACATATTGATTTAAGAGATCCAAAAACAGTATATCTCCAGGTGTTTATAAGAGGAAAATGCATTCTTTATAAAAAAATGTTTCTTGTTCTGAAATTGTTACTATCGTTTTAAAAAATTTCCATACCGTACCTAGTTTTAGAGAAGAATACAAAATATATAAAGTCCTAAAAATCGAAACGCGTTTTTATGATAATATCCATAGATTTTAAGTCTATGATAAAATCATTTTGTTTTCATTTTTTGATAGATGGTTGTTATTAGGTACCTAATTTTCAGTATCGTCATTTTTTTGCTGTTGTTAAAGTCACCTTTTTCACCATACTAGTGTTTCATAGGTTAGACCAATCATCAATTATGGAGCACTAGAATGGTGGGAAACGGTACTTAAAAAGACTAATAGAAAATGCGACACAAAAGTACAGCAATTAGCACTCTAGGTACAACTGGAGCAAGGAACAAAACAGCGCATGCTGCGCTAGAAGTAATTCTAGACTTGCAATCAATCGGCTGGTTCGTGAAGGATCTGACCTCTAAGGGTGCCCTAAGATTAAGGGAATCCAATCTGTGGAACCAGACCAACTACGGTCACTCGAGGATATTACCATTGATAGGGAAAACCATGGCAAATACGAGTCCACATCTGCTAGATCAGAAAACGGACTGTATACTCACCAAACTTGGTTTTGGAGAAAAGATAAGCATTCGTATCTCGACAAGAAAACAATAGGAAAGCAACCGAGTAATGAACACTCAAGAAATAGCAATCTACACAGACGCTTCCGTAACTTCAGGAGGCACAGGTATAAGCATATTCTCAGAGAAACTAAACAATCGACAATTGTAATGTTCTACAAGCAGAGGTTTACGCCATAAAGGAAGCTGCCAGTTGTAGAGCTTGCCTCTGAGAGCTTGGGCGCTTTAATGAGAATCACCACGAGTGAGATCGAAAACTGGGATGGACTGCCAAGAAACACAATCCTGGCTGCGTCAAGGCGGAACTACTCTGTGTTGGGTGCCAGTCCACAGCAATGTGGTGGGCAACCAAGAAGCATACAGATTCGCCAAAACCAAAGAGGAGGTTAGGGGAGAGGTCGTGGCAGATGACCCACCATTTGTGACGATCAACACACTGAAGGAAGCTTCCAACTACCATCAAGGCCAAGCAGCAAGAGACGTGACAAGACCGTGAGGACTGCGTTACAGCTCGAAGACTGAGGTCAGTGGTAGATAGCAAAAAGACAAAACAACTACTAGAGTACAAAAAGAACCCAGTACGCATAATTTTAGGTGTTATCACTAGAAACTGCCCCAAGGGGGTAAACCTCGTGAGATCGAAGATTTCCAACGACGACTACTGCAGAGAAGGCGGAGAGGAAGAAGAAACCATAGAGCACCTGCTGTGCTACTGTCCGCCACTGGAATGCCGACGCTTTATAACTTTAGGGCAATGTTGTTTGGAGTGACTAGAGGAAGCAGCAGAAGTCAACATCAGCGACATCGGGAACTTTGCAAAGAGCTGGAAGTGCTTTAACGCAAAGAAGAAATGAGAGGAAGGTTTGGTACAATTATAACAGGGGTATCGCAATGGGCCCTAGGCCTCCGAATGAGGGATCAAATATGCTCCCAAACGTCAGCAATATAACCTAACCTAGAGACACATTTTCCGTAACAATGGACTAAATAAATTTTGTGTTTCTTTAACATTTAATATAGCACAAAATGTGATGTTAATCAAATTCTCTATAAAGTTATACCAATATTTCTTATACGGTAATTCCCTATAGTTTATCTAATGACAAATATATACATGGACAAAACACCCTTTATCGCATTAAATACAATATTGTTATTTTTAGTTATCGTTGTTAGAATGATAAGAGCTATTATGTTTGAATGTAAGTATCCCTATTCCAGTTTTATTTCCATATTATCTTTTAATCGTTACTCGTTATTTTTATCATTATTACCTTTTAATTTTGAGGATGCAATATGTGGATTGTTAACAGATCCAAAGACCGAAAGGTATATCCCCAGGTGTTTATAAGAGGAAAATACATTCTTTTTAAATCCTTATAAAAAAAATGTTGCTTCATCTAAAATTATTAACACCGTTTTAGCATTTCCAAATTTCCATACCGTAAAAATACAAAAAATAAAAAGTCCTAAAAATCTAAACGCGTTTTTATGATAACATCCATAGACTTTAAGTCTATGATAACATCATTTTGTTTTCATTTTTTGATAGATGCTTATTATTACACATAGTATGTGCATATACCTCTATTTTTTACGTGACATTTACAAAATTCTTACTTCCCTTACAAAAATATTAATTGAAATAGGGAAGTCGTTAAACCACCGCACCGTAATGTATTCTATAAATTCTAAAAAAGTTTTTATTCGAATCCCTGATACTAGAGATACTTTATGGGTCATATAATCCCTTCTATAATCATAATATATACCCATAAAAACGACAAATTTGCATGATTTGCTTTTATTGTTACCTCGTGTAATAAAATTTATAAGCACTTTAAAAATAAATTTATGTTTAGGAGTGCATTAACGCTAAACGTTACTTTCAGATTACGTTAAAGCACTTCTTAAAAAAAAAGATCTTGCGCTGTACAGGACCCCCTAGGAAATAAATAACAAGTTAAAAAGCCATAAAACTTGAAGTTATTTCATAACACGTACGCAACATGGACACCGGCTGCATATAAATGATGTATCACGGTTAGATAGTGTTAATTTATTATTCTGTAACGAATTTTGTTCTTATATGCCAATAAGTCAGGTCTAAATATCGCGTAGTCTTATGTTTCATTGGCAACCTGTCGTTATTGCTCAGTTAATACA